AAAAAAAAAAAAAAAAAAAGACAGAAAATCCTGCTGCATTGTTAAAGTAGTTTGCATATTAAGGAGACATTCTCTCTATCAAACGAAAACGAAAAGAACACACGCACAAAGTTAGTCGACTGACAAACGAAGGAAACGTTCACCAGCAGAGAACGTCGGGTGGTGTAGAATGTCAAAAAACTTCAACAAAGGAGAGGGGACTTCGTAAAAGGGAAAGAACTAAATAACTACTCAACAGTTTAAACCAAACTCTAAGATACGAGAACCTTCCTAAACAGCTTTTTTCAACCTCAAAAAGGATGGGGTTTTTTTGTCAACATAACAGGCCATCTCTGAGTTACCTCTTGCCTCTGTGTCAAAACGAGTCTACGTGGTTCATTTTCGATCAGATCAAAGTTATTTTCACAGGAAAATGCTTAGACTCGTTTTGAAACAAAGGCACAAGGAAACTCGGAAATTAATGGTCTATGGTAACGATCGATCTCATTCATGAAATTTTTCTGATGAACCTTGAAATTTGTTATCCCGAGATGTTAGTTATTATTCACCTAACCATCACATGTTTGCCAAACAAAAAACCATGGGTCCGCCATATTGTTTTGTTGTTTACTATCTAGTCCGGGAGAAGACCAGAGACGCTGATCCCTTTAAACTCGGAGCAACACAAGGAAAGGCAACATTTTTGTTTAAAAGCAATTTTAGTAAAGAATATTTGAGTAATCATTAGGACTTAGCATTTAGCCTGTCATAATGTCATTTACTTTCTCTATATTTTTTCACCTGTCGTTGTTCACGCAGTTGGCTTACTGCGTAATATAACGTTATTGCATTTTATGCTCCAACGACAAGAAAGTTTCAAATTGAGTCTTTTTAGGGAGTTTTTTTCTTTTATCGCACGCATTTTTGAAACCCAGAATTAAAAAAAAAAACAATGTCTAAAATTCATATGGAAGAAGTGCTACATATAAAGCGACCACTACTCTTCCGAAATTTAATAATTTTGATTTGCGTTATTTGTAAACGACTTTCATTTGTTGTTTTCTTAAACAGATCACCATTAATCACAAAAAGGTGATAAATTTTCCGGTGCACTTACGTAGAAGAGTTGTTGGTTTGTGTGTTGTGCTTCTTTTAACAAACTTATTTCCACCTACCAACACTGTTAGCCAAATTTATTGACGTCTTGTCAAAACTATATAAATACATACGTCTAAAATATATTAATAATATATCAAGTTTCGTGGGAGCTCTGTGTTGGTAATATTTTATCCGTGTAGGACTCGAATTGATAAATGAATTATACTTTAAAAGGTAATAAACTAAAGTCATTAGTAGTGGTAGTCGAGGCTCGCCGCCTTTACCAGAAATAAATTACATGACAGATCAGAACGACCGCTATCTTTTTCGTGCACTGTGAGAAAAAACAAAACGATTTAATTTAAAGCACGCAATCCTGAAAATCGGTAGTTATTCTTAATGGAAGACCATAGAAGACGAAAAACGTGATATCGTGCGAGATCTTTTTAGCTCCACTGATTCTCGAGTGTTTGGCTGTTTGATATTGCGTTGCGGAAAGTCTTGCACACATTTTAAGCGACTTTCTGCTTCGTTTCCCTGCTCCAAATTTAGAATAATGCATTGATTACAATAGGCCATTTTCAGCAGATATATCAAGCCCATAATTCAACCCAATCTAGTTTAAGGCGCCTATTTTTGCCGCGAAATTGAAAACATAAAATACGTCGTCTTTCCTGTTGACTTTGAAGCACTTGACATCAAATGCGCGCGACAGGAACAGTTTCTCATATCATGGCATTGAGACGTGCCTCACTTAGGGTGATTTTGTCAAGTTACACTTTCGTGTAGAAACATTATGTCGTATATCAAACATGGACAAAATTAACAGTTGGCGTGTGATATAAATTTGAAACTCTTAACATATGAAGTACGATCGATGTTATTTCGGGTGAATCTAATTTTCAAGTGCGATCAGACTAATTTGTAAAAATTCATTTGAAAATTTCAACTTTTGTATCGTTTAACCGCGATATTTGGTCAGCAATGTATTTCAGCGCTTTAGTACGGAGAGGCTCGATGAACAGCAGAAGAAGTAAATCAGTCCACGAATGATGAAACACCAGTTGCAACAATATCAATCGATAAACTGGCGCAAGTTATTGTGCTCCGTTATCTTAGCTTTCCCGTATTATTACGTAAGCGCTTCAAGTAATGTGGCAGATGCCCTGCGGCAAATTATCTGTCCTCATCCCTGTTGATTTTTACATTTTTAAAAAGACGTTTCTTTCGGAACACGTTTGTTAGAACCTTTGGGCAAAACGTCGATTGGATCAGTACTGTTAATCACGGCGGCACTTCTCGACCGTCGATCATACTCAGGTTGTACTGTAGACTCTGTTCTTAGTTTAAGGACTTTTAAGACAGCTTTTCTTATGCCTTTGTTCCTCCAGCAATAGATGCCGGGATTGATTGAGGAGTTAAGAAAAACAAGCGTATCAGACCAAAGGTAGACAGTTTTTAACGTGGCGGTGTATCCAACGACAGTATATGCTATCATAACAGCTAAGGTTGGTAAGTAACATAGGAAGAAGATAAACGTCACCCATGCTACGTTTCTAGCATGCACTGCCTCTCGGGCTTGTCTTTGCCAACTTTGCCCTTCTTTAACCTGATGGCTAGTAGCAATTTGCATTCGATGGCGCTGAACAACGCGGTGAATTCGAATTGATATGACAAGAAAAGTCAGCAAACTAACAACGATGATAATGCAACAGATGACATAGAAAACAACGTTGCTGAGGCCGAAGAATCGCGACGAAACAAGCAATAAGGACAATAACCAAATGACCATTGAAATCTTCAGAACTCTTCGTGGTTTCACCAAACTCTTGTACCTTAGAGAAGAGAAGATAGCAATATGCCTTTCGCAGTTTAAAGCAGTTAAGGTCAAGAACGACACACCGGCACAAAGCCAAGCACTTGTTGAAAACAATGCATGTGCAAGGCATGAATACTTCCCCAGTGCTTCTCCTGTCTTGTAAAGGACAAACAGTGGTTGTACCATGAGCCCTACAAATAAATCTGATAAAACCAGGTTGCCAAGAAAAAAATTCGAACAAGTCCGTAAAGCTGTGGTCTTGAGGACTGCAGTCAGAATTATGCTGTTTCCGACGACGGCGACCATTAAGGATACGGCGTTTATTAGGCTTGTAAACACGGTTGTGATATATAACGTGCGAGAACTGGCCTCAAACAGGATCACCTCCAGAAAATAACAATTTGATTTTCCTGCGGGAATTGTTCCATTTGACGTATTCATAATAAGAATGAATAACACTTCGATATGACTAACCAAAACATGTCAGAATTTAGCGTTAATATTTCTGTTTTCTCTCTCACGTCGAATGTTGGCCTGCTTTCACAATATCATTCGCTATATTTGCTCACCAATCAGTAAACGTGTGACTGACGCATTATGCTAAAACACCCGAAAGTGACATTTCAGTGAACGTATTATACATCATATACAAACCAAGACTTGATTGCGGAACTTCAATTAATGTTGTTTTGAAGGAGATCGTTTGTTTTGTTCGTTTCTATAATCACATGACTTCGAGTTGAATTTTAATTAAATAAGCTGAAGTAAAATTTTCAGACTAAAAAATTGCACGAGCGATAACTTGTTAACAATAAAGATGCAATTTAATTTCAACTTTCTACACTCAATTTGAACTTTTTGCACTCAATTTCAGCTTTCTGCACTGTTTGGGATTCATTGACGTGCCGCCTCAGCCAATCAGCATGCTGAAATTTTCGCATAAAAAGGTTGTTATTCTAAACTGAATTATTTAATACAAAAACAGGAAGTAAGTTAAAAAAAGCTACTCGCATTTTTCATTATCGACCACGGCGCTTTTTATTGATATATCAAAGGTTCCGCTAAATTAGCGGAAAAGCACAGTCTCAATTGTACAAACGACTCAGCATGTGGCATTTATTTCGATAAAAAAAGCCATGTTTCATCGATTGAGAGATCTTGGCCGATAAGTACTAGTGTCTACCAGAGTATTCTGCTTTTATTACGCAAAAGAAAGAGACGGGTCTGTATCCCTGGGGAAGAGAGAGTCCTTGATCTAATCCTCTGGTCAGGTGTCGTCTTTGTCCGAAATAGGGTTCCAGAGTTTGGCCGTTTTTATTCTAACGAAAAGTAGCCTGGATGCCAGAGAATCGCCAGTAATGAGATGTTTTCCAATGGTGCAAAAACGATGTTCACTGATTAGCTGATGCGCATGCAGGTGGCGTGAAGTACACCCAACATAATTTGCATCACACAAATCAAGTTGAAAAAGACGAAGAACGCATTGTGTGTTTACGATCGGAGGCTTAGTTTCCTTGACACTGAGATCATGTGATAATTTCTTGCTCGTTAAAAAGGGGCTGCTTTATGTTTTCATCCCAATGACTGATTGTATGTATTTTTTTTCGGAGGTGATTGGCTGAAAGCTGATCTTTCAACTGAGTTGATTCTATGTGCACACCTGGATCTTGTGAAATCTACAATGTTCTTGGTACATTAATAAATCAGATTCAATAGTGGCCCAAGTGGTGAGCTTATGGCGAAGGTTCCCAATAGGGTATTCAATCCCGCTATCCCGACCATAAATTTTCTTTTCAATCAAGGCCCAAGCACTAACTGCCAGGTTCAATTGTCTGTCAGTATCTCTCTCTCCACCAAAATGATGATATTGTTCATTTTCGATGATTTGTTTTCACGATCAGTTTCAAATGAGTCAAGTTACGTCAGTAAGTCATTTCTTTTTTCTAGCTCGTTTTATTTTGTTTTCTTTGTTCTGTTTCTTGTTTTTTTGCCTCTATTGTGTGGTAACGCCTGTCTTCCCGATCATTTCAGTCGGATCAAGCTGTTAAGTCGGATAAAACTTGTCGGTCGGAGATGGTAACACTCAAATGAGAGGATTTTCATATGATTGCAGCGATTGAGCGATCAAATGGAAACCAACCTTTACAAGTGCATATCATCACGTGCCATGGCAATATAACGGGATGGCTCCCATGCAAAATTCTTAAGTAAGTCATTTCTGATTCCTCGTTCCCGGGTGTTCCGAATCTTGGCTCTTTAAAGTGAGATTTCTCGCAACCCGCTTCCATCGCCAAATCCCATTTTCCGTTCAATACAGCGAAATTTGGCGCCCTTGTTCCTACATAATCCTGAATCCCTGCCTTCAAATAAGCCAAATCCCAGATCACGAAAAGCCCATTGAGGACCCCGTATGGCTATACCGTCTTTTTGTTCGTACAGTTCACCATTGAATTGAAACAGCTGAGGCGTAGGGGCAATTTCAATTAGCCTCCCTAGTTGATGGAGTTACATACTATGCGTCTTAATAAACCGGTAGTCGTTGTATGTTCTACGTCAAGTATAGTCAAAAATGGCTGACCACGGTTTCCTTTCAAGGAGCGTATGTGAATAGCGAGGAAAGTAGAAAACGAGATTATGGTCGGATTCAATACTCACGATCTTTTATTTCATCTGTAAAGCCAAACGTGGGCCGTACGTACGTGAGCAGGTCTAGAGCCTTTTATAGGGCACTGAACTCAAGAAGATCGGCTGTTGCTTTGGGCAGAATCTAACATGTCTTATGAACTTTCGTGTGGACGTGTTTTTCTTTTTCGAGGAGTGGATGGTAGTATTTTGCGATGTCGTCGGAAAGCATCTCTTCAAGTTCTTCAGGAAACATGGATTGGACAAAAAGGAAACCATAGAGCCCCAGAGTAGGGCATTGGAAATCAGTCTTGTTGTCCGGAACGGGGAATTCATCTTCCTCCGGGACAACCCCGGGGAATGTGGAATCCTTTTAGTTATGGTCGGATCTGGGGTAGAGAACGATGATGTTGTTCCCTTTAAACGCCTATGAGCAGTAGCAATCGTTTGTTCCACGTTAAAGAAGCAGCTGCGTTTTCTGCTGTGGCGGTGTAGATGTCACGTGCAGAACTTGGCGACCAGAAAACGTCTGCACGATTCTAATAAAGTGATCCAATTTCAATGCTGGGATTAGAGTACTTTTTTGAATGATTCACACGTTCACGTGCTGTCTACCAAGGAGACTGAGTACTTCAAGTGCTTCACTTTTACAACGCGTAAGGAGGGGACAAGTCTTAGTCTCAACACCCGTTTATACCAACTTCGTTTTCAATCCTACAATCAAGGAGGAACAACAGGAGAGCCAACCTCGTTCCCAGGGTCTCTCATCTTACCGCTCTAGGGGGGCGATAAGATGAGAGACCCTGGGAACGAGGTTGCAGGAGAGCCGTGCGTCAGCGGACCGCCGAGAGAACAACCGCGAGGATCGAAATGCGCCAATCACAGCTGTTGAAAATCTCTCAATCACAGCGGAGCATCGTGCTTTAAAGCTATCGCATAACCAGCCGACATCATCGTCCGATGAAGACTAGCAGTGTTCAAACGAAAAGTCGCGATCTACATCACATTTTATAATAACCCAAGTTATCTGCGCATTTTGATTGGTTCTCGCCTATGATCTATTAGAGAACAGACGCACGATTGACCTCATCATTTCTAGGTTTTTCCCTCTGTGTTTAAAATGGCGGAAAGTTTTGAGAATTTAGATAATATTTTACGTGACTGGGGAAAGATAAGATACAAAAAAGTCTTGACGAGGCATTGGACAGGTACGAGAGTGTGGAGGAAGAAAGAAAAAGCTGTTTCTTTTCCAGAAAATGACTTGAGCAGTCTCAGTCGGCAGTCGAGCGAGACTAAACCAAACACAAAATTGGTCTTGAAATTACTTTAAGGTAAGAAACCATTGCTTTGCCTCAAATTAACAAAACCAATAAACAAAATATTTATGTCATTAATTTATTTAAAAAATTCAACTTTTTTCGGTCTCAAACTGATTGTTGAGACAGTTCGATTCCAGGAATTAAACATCAAAACATCATCATCATCGTAAACACATAAGCTTGAGTTTAACCTTGTTTTCCGACGCGAATGTTCCAGTCCGTTTCAGGGCACAGTAGCGAGAAAAGGAGAGCTCACTACCCGGGGGGGTGGGGGGCACTGTCATATATGGGCTATATAGGTATGTGCCGCTGTGAAGGGTATGGTTTTTAAGCAGTTTACTCTAGGATAGGGTATATAAATCAGAGC